GGCAGCACATCTGGTCAGCTTCTGGTGAGGGCCTTTGACCTGTGTCCTAACATGGCAGAGAAGCAGAAGGGAAAGCAAGCGTGTGCCAGAAAGAGAGGACGAAATAGGCTCACCTACTTTATAACAACCCACTCTCAGGAGAGCTAATCCAGTCTCTCGATAACTCACCCAGAGGAAGTCATTCATCCATCCTAACAACCCAGTCACCTCTTAAAAGACCCTGCCTCCAAACACCATCATGTTGGCAAGTAAATTTCAGCATGAGTTTTGGTGGCACAAACCACATTCAAATCGTAGCACATGTCCAGCAGAGAGACCAGCCTGTCCTGAACACCCTGAAGGAAGTGCCTGGGGTAAGGCCCTGTGGGGCGGCAGGGAACAGAACAAACCTGGCAGTGGCAGATTCTCAGTCTGGTTCATAGAGACCATCATACTTACATTAAAATTTTTTTTTTCTTTTTATTGAGACGAAGTCTCGCTCTTGTTCCCCAGGCTGGAGTGCAATGGCATGATCTCGGCTCACTGAAACCTCCACCTCCCGGGTTCAAATGCTTCTCCTGCCTCAGTCTCCCGAGTAACTGGGATTATAGGCACTTACCACCATGCCCGGCTAATTTTTGTACTTTTAGTAGAGACTGGGTTTCACCATGTTGGCCAGGCTGGTCTCGAACTCCTGACCTCAGGTGATCTGCCTGCCTCGGCCTCCCAAAGTGCTGGAATTACAGGCATGAGCCACCGTGCCCAGCCACATTTTTAAAAGTTTTAAGTGCGGGCAGGTGCAGTGGTTCATGCCTGTAAATCCTAGCATTTTGGGAGGCCAAGGTGGGCAGATCACTTGAGCTCAGGAGTTTGAAACCAGCCTGGGCAAGAGGGCGAAACCCTATCTCTATCAGAAGTACAAAAAATTAGCCAAACGTGGTGGCATGCGCCTGTGGTCACAGCTACTCAGGAGGCTGAGGTGGGAGGATGGTTTGAGCCCAAGGGTGGTGAGAAGGGGTGGGGGGGCGTGGAGGTTTCAGTGAGCTGAGATTGCACTACTACACTCTGGCCTGGGTGACAGACTCCATCTAAAAAAAAAAATAATTGTGGTAAAACACACATAATATAAAATGTACCACATTAACCAGTTTTAGGTACACAGTTCAGTGGTATTAAGTACATTCACGCTGTTATACAATTATCACTACCATCCATCTACAAAACTCTTTTCATCTTGTGAAACCAGAACTCTATACGCTTTAAACGGTAAGTCTTCATTCCCCCTCCTACCAGCCGATAGCCACCATTCTACTTTCTTCTGTTGATTATGGCCACTCTAGGTATCTCAGACAAGTGAAATCATACAGTGCTTGTTCTTTTTTTTTTTTTTTTTTGTGGAACAGAGTCTCACTTTGTTGCCCAAGCTGGAGTGCAGTGGTGCGATCTTGGTTCACTGCAACCTCTGCCTCCCAGGTTCAAGCGGTTCTCCTGCCACAGTCTCCCGAGTAGCTGGGACTACAGGCATGCATCACCATGCCCGGCTACTTTTTGCATTTTTAATAGAGACGGGGTTTCACCATGTTGGGCAGGCTGGTCTCGAACACCTGACTTCAGGTGATTTTCCCACCTTGGCCTCCCAAAGTGCTGAGATTACAGGCATGAGCCACCACACCCGGCCTACAGTGCTTGTTCTTTTATGACTGTTTTATTTCACTTAATGTTCTCAAGGACCATCCATGTTGTGGCATGTGCCAGAATTTCCGTCCTTTTAGGGCTGAATCGTATGTCTGGCCCACGTTTTTTTGACCACTCATCTGTTGACGGAGACGTGTTGCTTTCACCTCTTGGCTGTTGTGGATGATGCTGCTACAAATATGGGTGTTCACATGTCTCTTTGAGTTCCTGCATTTGGTTATTTGGGGGATATACCCAGAAGTGGAATTGCTGGATCATACAGTAATTCTATGATGAGGTTTTTGAGGAACAGTCATGCTGTTTTCACAGGGCTCCAGTTTACTCACATTCTAGCGAACAGTTGTTGTTTTCTGGATTTTTTTTTTAATCATAGGCATCCTAATGAGTGTGAGGTGACAGACTCCCTCAGTCTACAGGGCAGAGAACAGAGAGCCGCCGAGAAGGGTCTGCGACTTCAAATGCTAGAGCTCTGAGAAGGAACATTCCCAAGGGCTGCTTCTGGTCTCCTGAAGACCAGAGCTAACCACTGGGAATGGACTGTGGTGACTGAAGGGAGCCAGCACCGTGCCTCGAAGTGCCTCCCTACTGTGTGGATTAGTCTAAAAACACGTCAGCCTTTGGGTATGACCGCGGCCCCTCCAGGCAGGGCGTGGAGCACAGGGCCCTCTTTTATGGGCTGGACTCCCTAGTGGGCTGCTTACCTGTGACTCACCTCCCAGGCTCAAGCTGATGCTGAAGGTGCTGATTTACTGGAACTCTGAGCTGTGCCTGTGTCTCCTTGGGCTCTGGGAGAGTTTTTCTTTTAGCAGTACTTTACGGAGATATTGTCTAGGTAGAGGAAAATGTAGATCCTGGTATTCTGTGTGAGTTTTGTTTTGTTTTATTTTGTTTTGAGACAGGATCTTGCTCTGTCACTCAACCTGCAGTGCAGTGGTGCCATCATAGCTCACTGTGGCCTCAACCTCCCAGGCTTAAGCAATTCTCCTGCCTCAGCCTCCCTGTAGCTGGGACTACATGCACCACCATGCCTCACTAATTTTTTTGATTTTTAGTAGAGAGAAGGTCTTGGGATATGGAACAACTGCAACTGTCATTCATAGCAGACTTGAGTGTAAAATAATCCAAGCTGGTCTCAAACTCCTGGGCTCAAGCAATCCTCCTGCCTCAGCCTCCCAATGTGCTGAATTACAGGTGTCAGCCACTGCACCAGCCTCAGCCTGTTGTTAATGGAGGTAAACACCTGTGTGACCACCACCCAGAACCAGATCCAGCATATTTCCCGCCTCTCAAAGACTCCTTCGTGCCCCTCCCAGTCAGAGACCCCCAAGGGTGACGCCATTCTGGCCTGTTGTTCAACTTGACTCGAATGGAATTCTCACAGCATGTGTCTGTTTGGATCTGGCTGCTTCTGTTCAGTTGCGAGGCCCATTGATGTTTCCTGTGGCCCAGCTCCTTATTATTACTGAGGGCTACTCTTTTGTGTGAAAACCACAATTCATTTCTCCCTTCTCCTTTGGTGAACAATTTGCATTGTTTCCAGCCTGGGGCTACGGTGAGTAAAGCTTTTAAAAACAGACAAATATGTTTTCCTTTCTCTTGGCTAACTTTTTAGAAGTAGAAAAGCCAAAACCTAAAAGTAGATATTTGACTGTATTACAACTCGCCAAGCAGTTTTTCTTTCTTTTTATTTTTTTTATTTTTTGAGACAGAGTCTTGCTGTCTCACCCAGGCTAGAGTGCAGTGGCGTGATGAGGGTTCACTGCAGCCTTGACCTCCTGGACTCAAGTGAGCCTCCCACCTCAGCCTCCCACATAGCTGGGACCACAGGTGAGCACCACCACACCTGGCTAATTTGCGTTTTAAGTTATATGTACAGACAGGGTCTTCCTATCTTGACCAGGCTGGTATCAACCTCCTGGACTCAAGTGATCCTCCCACTTCAGCCTCCCAAAGTGCTGGGATTACAGGCGTGAGCCACCACGCCCTGCCCATTTTTCTAAGTTGGATTATTTTACACTCCAGTCTGCTGTGAAAGACAGTTCCAGTTGTTCCATATCCCAAGCAATTGGCAATTGCCTACAAATGATGTGGCATGATGAAATTGTTCCTGGTGTCCATGGCGTCCGAGAGGACTGCAAAGAATTTCCCTTCCTTTCTCTCCTTTCTGTTCCCCCTGTATTGTCTACTCCTTAAATTGGTCAAATTCTATTTAATCCAGAACATAATGGGGATGGAGAGTGCAGATGATACACATGGCCTCAGTCTATGGGAGCATCTCAAAGGAATTCGTCTGCAAATTCTAGTGCATCTAGGCAGAGCACAGGAAGGAAGAGAGGCGCAGACTCACGTATGGCCCTGGGGCACCTGCCATCCTCTTGAGCCTGTACAGCCCTTACCCGCCCAGCCCCAGCTTGAGTTCTGGGCCTTCTCGCCAGCACATCACTGGGACCTGGTCAACTTCAGGTCAGTTTATTTCATGGCTCCCTCCCCCCTCTGCAGCCTATCCTGTTATTCTCTGTTTCGGCCAATTATTTCCCCTAATTAGGTGCTGAAACCAATAAAGGCAGTTCATGCCATATGTCCCTTTCCAGCCCCATGTCACTTGAAATGTTCTATTATGTCCAAGACTTCTCTCCCCATCCTAAAGCGCAGAAAATAAAGATAGAGAAGAGCAGGAGAAGAAAGAGAGATTCACTGAGAGGGAGGATCAGAAGCTCCTGGGCACCCCATACTCTAGAATAAAAATCTTCATTGTGGTGTTTTTCTTGCAAAATATTCCCCTCTACATAATTATGTTTTTACATGAATAATATAAATTTAAAAAGGAGAAACACTTTTTGAAGAGTCTGAGAATCTTCATATAGCTCAGGCTACCACGAATTAGCTGTGCGACCTGGGGCATGCCCTTTAGACGCTGAGCCTCAGCTTCTCTATATGTAAAATGGGTTGAAGCCGCCCTTCCCCACCAGCACCCCGGGGACAGGCAACGCCCAGCCCCATTATTTTCTGGACTCCGTGGCCAAGCATGCTCAGGACACACAGCCACATACGTCTGGGCAGTGTCATCTGGCAACTCGCTGTCATGTCAGTGTGATCAAGCACTGTAGACCTCTATGAACCAAATATGCTTCAGGCTTGGGTTGAGCACAGGAGAGGGAGGAGGGAAAGGTCACTGGGACTGGGAGTGCCCACTTCCCTCTGTAAGCGTCACTGCAGTTCACCCAGCACCCTACCTTGCTCTCTCTGGACCCGCTTCCTCTTGCTGCTGGCTCCTCCCCGTTGAATAACAGCCAAGTTGCTTTGGTTTCTACTTCTGCATCAAGTCATTCCCACTGCAAAGGACTTCCTGGCAGGTGTGAAAGGCAGCGGTGGCCACAGAGGCGGTGGAGAGATGGCCTTCAGCGGTTCCCAGGCTCCCTACCTGAACCCAGTGAGTTCCGGGGCCGTGGGCACAGGGCTGCCTCAGCCAGGGGGACACAGCCCTGGGGCTCTGAGGAAGCAACTCCTGGGTGGCAGGGGATAGGGGTAGGGGCAAGGCAAAGAGAACACAAGCAGGGCAGAAATGTCAGTGGAGGTCATCCTGGCACACCTGTGCCACGCTGAGCTCGCTCATGCCTGGAGGGATGCTCGTCCCCACGAGTCATGAGGTTGACAGTGTTGACTGAGCTGTCCCGTCCTGTCCTGTGTGCCCAGGGGAAGACATGTAGAGTGGGATGGTTCATGTAAAGGGGAAGCAAGCACGCTTCTGGGACAGTAAGGACACTAACCGGCATGGTAGTTAAGGGTGCTTACTGAGAAGATGGCCTCCCTGGGTCCAACCATTTACTGGCTAGTGGTCTCTGGGCCTCAGTTTCCATATCTGTAAAGTGGGAATAATACTTGAGCCCCCCACTCCCAGGGTTGGGCTATGGATTAAGGAGGTAGTGTATCTAGTGTGTTTGAACGGTGCCTGGAACACTGTCAGAGCTTTGGGAGTGTTTTGTGTTATTGGGAGTCTGGGGGCAGCAGGGAAGGCCTCCTGAGAAGGTGTCTGTGCTCTGAAGGGTGAGGCAGAGTTAACCAGGCATGGGCATGTGAGGGCATCCGCAGAGGTGCAGTCTCAGAGGTGAGAGGGGGCGAGGACTGTCCCTGCAGTGTGGGGTCAGAGGGCTGCAGGTGCCTTGCTGAAACCCTGTGAGATTTATGAGTCCCCTTCATTCATGAAAAATCCAAGGCTCAGGGAGGCGAAGGCCAGTTGCCAAATGCCCCCAGATGGGACTGGCAGCGCCAGGAGACCAGGAGCCTTTAGGGGTCACTGTCCTCGGCCGGGTCCTGTCATAGGATCTCACCCCGCCTTGGCAAAGAGCTTCCCGAGGGGCTGGAGAGGGTGAGCTGATGGGCCCTTCCTGGGTGGGCAGAGGCAGGGTGCTGAGGGCAGGGAAGCTGCCAGGGCCCACCTCAGCAGAGGCCAGGCTCGGGCTTCGGTGCCCTCTGGTGACACTGAGTCCAGAATGAGGCTGCCTAGGTTCTGGTCTGCAGAGCTCAGCTCTGCTTTCTGAACTCCAGAGGAAGAGTGGAGAAAGGAGGCCTGTTTCCTCCTGGCTGTCACCAATGACCCCTCAGCCACCCTGTGGAGGCCCCTGAGGTAGGACCTGCATGGAGAGAGTGGGGGAAGCCGGAACGGGCTGCCGGTGCTGCGCGGGCCTTAGGGTCAGCGTGTGCCACCTTGGACTTGTCACCCCATCTCTGGTTTTCTGTCAGAGAGGGGATCCCAGAGCTTCTTCCAGGTTCTGACATATCATTCTGGTAACTGGTTTTTACTTTCTAATCTTTGGATTCAGAAGGAAAATCCTCCCATGGACATCAGAGAGTTTCCGAGAGTTAAAGCAGGGCCTTGGAGCCCAGACAAGAAAGACGGTCAGTGCAGCCCCCGTGGGTGTCCAGAGCACCCCTCTACCCCACGGGGCTCCCCTGGGGTGGGACACTTAAGCCTCACTCAGTGACCCCTCTGGCAGTCGGAGTCACGCTTCCTCCACGTGCCGACAGTGGGGGAAGGTCACGGGGTTCGCTGTCCTGCTGAGGAGGGCTGAGTGCCAAGAGGGCCTGGCTTGGAAGCCTCACTCCCACTTCTTTTCTGGTCTCATGTAGCTCAGCCTCTTTGGAGGGCCGTGGGGAAGCTAGAACCACCTGCTGTGTGACCCAGGAAGCACTGGGAGAGCCAGGAATAAGGACGTTCCCAGCTTCCTCATGAGAGAAAGCCTGTGTGGTGGTTAGAAGTGTGGGTGCTGGGGTTCAAGTCCCAGCTCTGTTGCTGACCAGCTGTGTAGCTTTGGGCAAGTGACTGAACTTTTCTGTGCCTCAGTTTCCTCATCTGTAAAAGTGGCCAGGGTTGCCGTGAGGATAAATGTTCCTGGTCATGCCCAGAGCCCTCATGGACACACATGGATCCAGATGCCACAGCTGCCTTAGCTGGCCAACCTCAAAACAACACATTTGTTCTTACAGTGTTGGAGGTCAGAAGGCTAAAATCAAAGAGTTATGAAAGGTGGCCAGCAGGACGGTGGAGCCTTTGAGACCACAGGGCACTTCGCTAACGGCCATGTACTGGCTCCTGCTGGCGGGCAGTCTCGGCCAGCCAGGCTGAGCTCCCTACTGGCGGGGCCAAGCCTAGGTGTCCTCTGGTGATGCAGAGTACAGAACAAAGCCGCCCACATTCTGGTTCACAGGACTCAGCTCTGCTTTCTAGACTTCCAGATAAGAAGAAGAGGGAAAGTCCCCGGTCTCTGGGCACAACCAGGAACAGAGAACAAGTTCTGACTCAGCAGAGGATCGATTCGTTCCATGCAAAGAGCTGCACTGTCAAGGCCAACACGAACCAGGGGCTCAGCTCACCGCATCACACCCAGTCCTCTCAGAACTCTGCCGGGTGGTGTTACTGTCCTGCCGTTCAGAGGAGGGAACTGGGGCACAGGCAGGTCAAGCGACTTGGCCAGTGTCTGAATTGCCAGTGTACAGAGCTGGGAAGCGAGCCCAGGCCCGTGGGACCATAAATCCAGTGCAAAAATCCATCCTCCTGCACCCTATGGAACAAAAGTAGGTCCAGTCGCTTTCCTGGGTTTCCTGGACACACAGATCTAAATTCCACAGCAGTCTCGGCTGGCCAATCTTAAAACAACAAATTTATACTCTTAATGATTCTGGAGGTCAGATATTAAAATCAGCGTGTCAGCAAGGTTGTTTCCTTCTAGAGGCTCCAGGGGAGAATCTGTTTCTTTTCCTTTTCCAGCTTCTAGAGGCTGCCTGCATGCCTTGACTTATGGCCCCTCCTGCCATCTTTAAAACCAGCAGCTTTGTCCAGGCGCAGTGGCTCATGCCTGTAATCCCAGCACTTTGGGAAGCCGAGGCAGGAGGATCTCTAGCCCAGGACCTGGAGACCAGCCTGGGCAGCAAAGTGAGACCATGTCTCTACAAAGAATAGACAAAAATTAGCCAGGCGTGGTGGTGCACGCCTGTAGTCCCAGCTACCTGGGAGGCTGAGGTGGGAGGATCACATGAGCCTGGGGAAGTGGAGGCTGCAGTGAGCTGAGACCATGCCACTGCACTCCAGCCTGCATAACAGAATGAGATCCTGTCTCAAAAAAAAAAAAACACAAAACAAACAAACAAAAAAAACCCCAAAACCAGCAAAAAAAAAACAAAAAAAACCCCAAAACCAGCTTCTTGCTTCTGTTGTCACATCTCCTACCTCTGACTTTGATCCTCCTGCTCCTTTTTATAGGACCTTTGTGATTACACTGGGACCACCTGTAAAATCAGGACAATCTCCCCATGTCAAAATTATTAATTTAATCACATCTGCAAAGGTCCTTCTACAACATATTCACAGTTTCCGGGAATTCAAATGGGGATGTTTCTGGGGGGTGGGCCACTGATAACCAGTGTTACAAGTTTCTTGTAAATTCTTCCAGAGATATTTTATCTATAAATAAATAAATCCAAGTCCATAGCCTTCCCCCACCCACTTTTTATACAAATGGCATCATTCCATATCGGTGCTCAGTTTTCCTCTTTTTCTTTTTCTTTTCTGTCCTCTTTTTCTTTTCTTTTGAAGGCTACACAGAACCTGTTATATTATATGGAAATACCCTAATTTATTTCACCTTTTTACTGTTGAAAGGCTTTTAGGCTCTTTCCAATGCTTTGCTTCATAATCCTTTGTGTTATAATGCTGCAATGAATAACCTTGTTTGTAGGATAATATTCAATTTAAAATCTCATTTTTCAAGCCAGGCATGGTGGTTCACACCTGAAAATCCTGGCCCTTTGGGAGGCCAGACAGAAGGTTCACTTGAGACCAGGTGTTCAAGACCAGCCCTGGTAACATATCAAGATCCGCTCTTTTCACAAAAATTTGAAAATTAGTGGGGCATGACATGGTGGCATGTACTTATTTGGTCTCACGTATTTGGGTGGCTGAGGTGGGAGGATCACTTGAGCACAGGAGGCAGAGGCTGCAGTGAACCGTGATCACACCCCTCACCGCACTCCAGCCTGGGCAACAGAGTGAGAACCATCTGAAAATAAAATAAAATTTTTAAAAAGTCTTGTTTTTCAGAATTTGGGGGTGACATTTAAGACATTTTGAAACCTCACAGAACTTTTTTGGGGAACTTGTTGCCTTGGAGATTAACCTGCCCTGTCCCGCCCCCATGATCTGTACTTGCTCTTTCTCCCTCCTGGCTTCCTTAATTCAGCCTTGTGTGTACTTGTGAGCCCACGTCCATCACGCTCTGCCTTCAATTCTAGACGCTGTGGTGTGAATACGCTTGAGTGGAGGCCGCATGCTTCCCAGGAGGGTGTGTATTTCCAGCGTTGACTCTCATGATAGTGTGAAAGGCTCTGGAGAGAATCACAGGCCTCCACAAACAGACAAGGGGAAAAATGTTCCACAGACATGTTTCAGGAACAACAGGCTTCCCGATCCTAGGCCATCCTGGTCCATACCTGGATCAGGCTGACTCTCCTTCCCCCACACTGCTGGTGTAGACAGGGACAAGAAAGAGAAGTCAGAGACACAGAGAAGCTGTGATTTGCTTGAGGTCAGTAAAGTACTTAATGGCAGAGTTCAGACCTGACCTGAGGGGCAACAAAAGACACCCCCTCAAATCCATGGGGAGCAGAGACTGTCTGAATCAGATCCAATTTCCTGGGGCTTTCACGGAGCCAGGTGTGTACACTGAGCTAGGACGGGTTTCCCAGGGTTCTGTGTGGTCACACAGCTCAACAATACAGACCAGAAAGCAGTGGGCAGTAGGCTGAATTTGGCTGGTGGGTGTTTTCTGTTTGGCCTTCACAGTGTTTCTTCTAACTTGTTATTATAGGAAATTCAAACATGCAGAGGGAATTGTACCATCAACAACACACACCCATCACTCTGCTCCAACAACGATCAACTCAGGCCTATCTTGCTTCATCCTATACCCTCCCTCCTTGCTTCCCTTCCCACCTTCAGATATGTGGAAGCGAATCCAGAGATACCATTCCATTGCAAATATTTCACTGTGTATCTCTATAATATGGGAATTTGGGGAGTTTCATTTGAGACAGGGTCTCCCTTTGTTGCGCAGGCTGGAGTGCAGTGGCACAATCGTGGTTCACTGCAGCCTTGACCTCCCAGGCTCAAGTGATCCTCCCACCTCAGCCTCCCAAGTAACTGTGGTTAAAGGTGTTCACCACCACATCTGGCTAATTTTTTAAATTTTTGTAGAGATGGGGGTCCCACTATGTTGCCCAGGCTGGCCTCAAACTCCTGGGCTCAAATGATTGTTTTGCCTCGGGATTATGGATGTGAGTCACTGTGCCCAGCCAGGAACTTTTACATAATCCTTTTTGACAAAAATTTTCCCCCAAGAAATTAGAAAGTTTTACAAAAAAAAAAAAATCCAGGTTTCTGTCTTCTCTTAAAAATTTGGAAGCTCTGCCAATCCTGGGCCCAGATGGTAATCACTGGTTAGCGCTGAGTAGATGTTGACTTTTCAGGCGAGGGGTATGATGTCTACTTTGCCACAGTCCCCACCACTCCCTACCTGGCCATCTGACTCATAACACGTCACCTGCCTGGCTCCTTTAGGCATTTAATTTGTGTAGGAAGTTGACCTAAAGGAGATATTAGAGAAGACACTAAAAACTTGAAGAATGTGAAAATCAGCCAGGAGATAGAACTGTGCTTTCATGCGGGTTATAGAACCACACTGGATAGTTTCTTCTAACTTGTTATTATAGGAAATTCAAACATGCAGAGGGAATTGTACCATCAACAACACACATTGTGTTATAATGCTGCAATGAATAACCTTGTTTGTAGGATAATATTCAATTTAAAATCTCACTTTTCAGGCCAGGCATGGTGGTTCACGCCTGAAAATCCTGGCCCTTTGGGAGGCCAGACAGAAGGTTCACTTGAGACCAGGTGTTCAAGACCAGCCCTGGTAACATATCAAGATCCGCTCTTTTCACAAAAATTTGAAAATTAGTGGGGCATGACATGGTGGCATGTACTTATTTGGTCTCACGTATTTGGGTGGCTGAGGTGGGAGGATCACTTGAGCACAGGAGGCAGAGGCTGCAGTGAACCGTGATCACACCCCTCACCGCACTCCAGCCTGGGCAACAGAGTGAGAACCATCTGAAAATAAAATAAAATTTTTAAAAAGTCTTGTTTTTCAGAATTTGGGGGTGCCATTTAAGACATTTTGAAACCTCACAAAACTTTTTTGGGGAACTTGTTGCCTTGGAGATTAGCCTGCCCTGTCCCGCCCCCATGATCTGTACTTGCTCTTTCTCCCTCCTGGCTTCCTTAATTCAGCCTTGTGTGTACTTGTGAGCCCACGTCCATCACGCTCTGCCTTCAATTCTAGACGCTGTGGTGTGAATACGCTTGAGTGGAGGCCGCATGCTT